GGAACTGGCTGACGAATTCGCCAAGATGGCAATCGATCCGGGTAGATACCTGGTCATACCAGGTGACCGTTACATGAGGTTGCCGTCGTACTCGTCGCAGGTAAGTGGTCAACGAAATTTTGACTGTTGGTTCGTTTTTTTACCGTTTGCTTAACTATTATTTATTGCGTAGGACGAAAACGAGATACTATCGAACCTGGCGACTGAAGGTGCGGATATGAGTATAATGGAAGCCGATGAGTACTGCATGAACCCAAAGATGGGTAACAGCATGCCGGGTCCGTCGAGGCTGGGATCGAGTAGCACGGCGGGTCCTGACATGCTTGGATCTATGCATGGCAGACACAACTGGGATCGCGAGCTCAGAAAATTCAGTGACATACATCGATTAGGTAAAAACTGTTTTAATAATTCAGTAATGATAGTATAGGTGATCTTTGTTTCATTAGCAATAACATACAAATGGTACTTAAATTAAACAAACTATACTAACCCTATATTGTGTTTTTTCTTGGTAGATTGCGACACTTCCGACGATCTCAGTAATGGAAGCAAGGCGCAAGTTGGCACGTTGAAATTAGACTTGCCATTAGATGAGGACGATTACCTAATGCCTTCCCCGGCCAATGATGAAATCGACAACAAGCGTCGCCATGCGCCTGCCAACTACATCGATTTGATTGGTCACCAACACGCTGAAGGTAAGTCATCTTAGTTCTTAATAATATCTTCTACTTGCTAAAAATGACAAAATCAGATGACATCTAGTTGAAAAAAGAAATTATGGTAGATACTAGATGTGTATTATTATAGTTACCTACAATATTAATCAAACTATGGTTCAAAATATAATGAAAATCAGTAAGCCACTCTTAAGCTAGGAATTATTCAGCTATCCGAAATCTTACGAATACAAACTTTGTTCCCAACACTAAACTGGATCTTTTAATAAATCCCGGCTACCTGAATAATGGAGATTTTTTTTTATTTATAATAAATATTATTACGTTTGTGTTGCAGCGGAATACGCCAACGGTAGTCTACCGAGACCTCCTGGTCTAACCAAAAACTATCAACCAGACTTCTTGCCAGTCCAGGTGAGCAGCGTGGACAACCCCGAGTACCATTTGACCGGTGGCGAAACTTCCGCCGCGGCTCCATCGACAGTCTCCGGTGACGGTAGCGGTTCTGTTGCAGAGGCGTCCTGCGAACCGCAGTCACCCGCGCCTACCTCCAACGGCCGCAGTCTGGAGGACGAGTCGGACCATGAGTACTACAACGACTTTGATCGGCTGCAAAGAGAGCTTCAACCGCTCAGACGAAACGAAACAACCGTTTGACGAACGGCTATCGAGCCCCACACGTATCTGGGGGAACCTCGAACCATTTTGTAGACGTTTAAGTTTTGTTTTGTTGACTCGTTTTTAAGAATTATTAAGACAATTATTATGAAATGACACATGAAACGACAAGTTTTTTTCAAGTTTATTCAATACATTACTATATGATGTGTATATAATAATATTGTTTTATTCATATTTATATTTTTAAAACTAGGTATTATATATTTATATTTGTATAACGCTGTGCCATTCTCTATCCCGACTGTACATTATATTATTATTATTTTTATTATCATTGTCGTTTGATAACTGTAAAGAAATATTTTATACTAATTGTAAGGTTCTTGTTATTGTTAGCTTATACAACAATTTTATTGTGTAATGTGACTGTGTAGTTTGCCCATAATACAATGTAGCAAAACGGATCAAACAAAGGAACCGTTTTCCTCAGAGTTAATGTACTTAAAAATAAATCAAAATCATATTTACTCCAAAATGAAAACCGATTGCCTTTAAGATATCCGTGGGCAAACAAATATATATTTAAATATATTTTTTTAAAGGCTGTGATATTTATTTTATTAATGTAAATATGTTTTTCCCGAAATTATTTGAAACATATACTTATGTTTATTGTATTATTTGCATACATTTTAGGATTAAGAAAACAATAAACTATATATTTTTCCATTGTAATTACTATTAACTATGGCAATATTTTTGTTTTATTATAATATAGACTTTTACCGAACATATTATGTTAATGAATGGGCATACATAATTACCAGCTATCCATTAGCTTATGTTGCGTGACCTATTCAAACTTTAGGGAACCTACTAATAGGTAGATACATGGAGATTTTTAAACTGACCTGTTGTACTTATATAATATTAATTTAAACCTTGATTGTATAATTTTTTTTTTAGATCTCTTAATTTTCCATGTATCATCATAATTTATAGTTGTATTTGTTAGATTAAACATACAAAAACAATACTTGCCATCGGCTACACACATACTGAGTATGAATTTTAACATGTCTGAACTTAATGTCTGCTTGTAGTAAGAATAAAAATACTATTTTTTTTATTAGTTTTTATAAATTTACCTAATAATAGTAAGTGCCATTTATTTAATGTGTTTTGAATATTAGAAAAATGAATTACTGTGCGGTAGCTATTAGTATTACTTTTTTTTTACTAGAATGTTAATCTTTTAATAAGTCTGTTTGGTAGGCATATTGTGTGTGATTTATAAACCTATGTGTGTTTGTATATCTTGTATACTAATACACATACTTGTAATATTCATTTTGTAAGTCTGTAAAGTGTCAATAAAAACAAGTTGATCTTATAATGTATTGATTTTTATTATTTTAAATAAATACAATAACTAATAATATTGCATAAAAGTGGGACAGATTTAGTGGCATATTTAGGAATTTTTAAGGGCCCACTTAATTTTTCCAACACAAAGCTGCAAGTTACATTCATAATTATTTAACCAGTATATGGTTATGGGGCCCTATCAATAAAAACAATTCTTTAAAATTTTAAAAATATATTTAAAAAATTTAACCTGTTTAATTAAGCATGATACATTAAAAACATATTATTTATTATGTACATAATATTTATGTACTTATACATATTTTATACAAGTCTTTTTTCTTGCTTTTTGTAGAACATCATTTTCTACAAAATCATTAATAATGACCAATTATCGGACAGATACACTATGTAAGAATGTTAAATTATGCTTATTGTTTTTTTTTTTATGTATTAGCAAATAGCTTCTTTTATAAATGTAATATTCACATGATAAATTGGTACCTACTCGATAAAGTACTCATTACATCATTTACATAACTGTTGAACAAGTTTAAAGTTAATAATATGTATTTCAGACTTGGTACGTTAATTTCTGTGTTAAAATCGTGAACTACATTAATTAATATGATACATTAATACCTTTATCAGTGTTATGAAAATGTAAACGTTGGCCTACTATAGATAAGAGGATTTCGGCTATCTATAATATTTTTTAAAAGCTTATTATCTGTGTCTCCCACTATAATCATAATCTTAGGCCATAAAGTTCTATTTTTATACCTTTTGATGCACGACTTATTGTTGGCGCCGTCGTCATGATAAAATATTATGCATTTTGTCATGGGCGACACGCCGCCACCGCGCCGCCCTCCATCGGTACTGTTCGGTATTCACTCACACAAGTGCACAACATAGTTGAACAATACACAGCTTTACGTTCCCACCGTGACCGTGCCACTGCGTAGACTGCCGACTGTCGGAGTCGGACTGACTATTTCTGACTGTAGTAAAATAGTGTTTACTTTATTTGCCGTTGGAGTGTTCCGGCGTTTGGCGTCACGCGTCAATTGCGTCACTGGCTTGTAGTTTGTACTTGGCGATTTAGTAAACTCACTGGCTCAGTAGTCAGTGCCCCGCAGTCATTATTCGCCGACTGCCTTGCTGTTTCGTCACCGCTCTACGCTTGTCGATCGCCTGACGTTTTATTGACGATCTACGTTTTTTCGGTGAGTACAAGCTCTCGATAATATTATAGTAGGTATTTCAACCCGTTCCCCCAAATAATATCATATGTCTGTGTCGTTGAAAACGGTTATGTGTAAGTGTAGACTATTAAATCAGCTATAGAACGAATAAATGAATTGTATCATGAACTAAAATTGTGGAACTTACTATTGGAGAGCTTTTTCGTGCTGATAAATTTGATGTGTCAAATAACCGTCGATTTTTTTAAACTATAATCTTAAGTACCTGTAATAGAGCAAACTGAATGTAAATTGATTTTTCATTTTTAAGATATTATATTCGAAGCACACCACAACCGACAAACAGTTCTAAACTTTACTAAAATATTTTGATTTTTTGATTCCACTAAATATTTAATGAATATTTCAAGCATTTACTATAATAAGTATATATTATAAGTCATTTTTTCAGAAAAAACACTGAACAGTTAATATTTGTATGTTTGGATATTCTAACATTTACCATGGACAAAAATTACCTACAAAATAAAATCAAAAGAATTTTTAAATATATGTGCTTGATTCAAAATTCAAATGTTTACAACAAATAAACAATAATACACTTACAGTTTACAAATTATAGTATTAAAGACGATAAGTGACTTAAAATATATAATTGAGAAATTGTACATAACATGAATTAGGATATCTGTATTTCTTTATTTGTTATATAAAGTACAATAAATTTCGAAATTCAATTCAAACATAATTTTTTTCACTTTTGGCAAAAATATGGGGATTACGATTACCTACAATACCACTCTAATCCATCTATTAACTTCTCCTTGAAATTATTGGTATATTAACCCTTTCATCTAAACTTCAAAAACTAATAAATAGTTTAAAAAAATACTTTTTTACCTAAGTAACAAACAAATTAGTAGTACGTAACAACTTTGAGATCTATAATTATTTAGCTAAGTTAAAATGGTTATCGACATAATACACCTATATTTTTTTATAGAAATATTTAATATATTATATGCTCCCCTAATCCAAACATTATCTAAACAGCAGCATTATGCTGTTTATCGTGTTTGAGACTTGGGACAGCCAACGCCCACATGTAATGATAATAATAATGATATTAATAATAATAATAATAATAATAGACAATACCTTATAGGTATACAGTCTACTACCAAAGGTTTCTGTGCAACCCAATCGCACATGTTTGTCCTTCGAGTCTACGAGCTACTAAATACAATAGTATCAAGTTCATGAATTTTATGTGTTAATTTCATAGCTACCTATTAAATTTGGTTTAAGTGTAATAAAGAACCTAGATAAAGTACAAGATCAATTTTTTTTTTATTTGTTCATGTAGGTTGTGTTTGTGTTAAGTAGGTATACAGAAAAATGAGCGGAGACTCTTATTCAGAACGTACGTTCATCATGGTCAAGCCAGATGGTGTTCAACGCGGCCTGGTTGGCAAGATAATTAAGCGCTTTGAAGAAAAAGGATTCAAATTGGTCGCAATGAAATTCATGTGGGCAAGTACTTCTAGTTTTTAATCTTAAATATATTTGCATTTATTATTTTCAGTTACTATTAAATGCTTAAAAGTAGACATGAAACTAAATAACAGCAAAAATACTACTTTTACACATGTACATCAAATGCAATTGTATTTGTGACTTTCAACGTTTGCTTAGATGAATTAATAAATGTTGATGTCTAAGTAATAGATTGTATAGATTTGACTAATGTATGTAGTTATATACCTCAAACACAACTTAAAAACATTTCAAGGGATCATAAAAAAATTGAGTTATTAAGGTTATACTCGACTATACTAAAACTTTTGATTTTATTGCAATTTGAAAATATATTTATTTTATATTAATATTAAAAATGATAAACAATTTATCTACCCTGCAGTGTACTTATTATGATGGAAAATACAATTTTGTATAAGAGGAAAAAAAGTTGGGAAGAGAGTTAGAACCCTACCATTGCGTACGTCTCTGGCAAATACAATTTAAAATTTAAAACATTGAATTATTTTACATGTCTATTAATATAATGTATTTAAGTAGAACATCCCAAAAAATTCCGTTCATATTTTTTT